TCCTTCTTCCATCCCTTTTTCTTCTTGTCCTTCATCCATCTTTCCTTGCCCTTCTTCCATCCCTCTTCCTTCTTGTTCTTCTTCCATCCCACTTCCTTCTTGTCCTTCTTCCATTCCTCCTTCTTGTCCTTCTTTCATTTCTTCTTCTTGTTGTCCTTCTTCCATTCCTCCTTCTTGTCCTTCTTCCATTCCTCCTTCTTGTCCTTCTTCCATTCCTCCTTCTTCTTGGCCTTCTTCCATCCCTCTTCCTCCTTGTTCTTCTTCCATTCCTCCTTCTTCTTGTCCCTCATCCATCCCTCCTTCGTGTCCTTCTCTTGTCCCTTCTTCTTCCTGTCCTTCTTCCATCTCTACTCCCTTCTGTCCTTCTCCTATCCCTCTCTTTTCTTCTCTTATTCCTCCGCCTCCTTCTTCCCTAGACAAAGCACAGGGAAGGGGAGGAGGAGTAGACAAAGGAGAGAGAAAAGGATGGGGAGGAGGCATAGGAATCAAAGGAGAAAGAGGAGGCATAGGAATCAAAGGAGAAAGAGGAGGGAGAAAAGAAGGAAAGGGAGAAGGAAGAGGCTGAGGATTAATAGGAGAGGGAGACAGTGGAGGAAGAGGCTGAGAACCAGAAGGAGACAGTGAAGGAAGAGGCTGAGGAACAGAAGGAGAAAGTGAAGGAAGAGGCTGAGAGGAGAAGTGAAGGAGAGGCTGAGGAACAGAAGGAGAAGGAAGGAGAGGCTGAGGAACAGAAGGAGAAAGGAAGGAAGAGCTGAGGAACAGAAGGAAGGAAGAGGCTGAGGAACAGAAGGAGAAAGCGAAGGAAGAGGCTGAGAACCAGAAGGAGACAGTGAAGGAAGAGGCTGAGGAACAGAAGGAGAAAGTGAAGGAAGAGGCTGAGGAACAGAAGGAGAAAGCGAAGGAAGAGGCTGAGGAACAGAAGGAGACAGGCTGAGGAACAGAAGGAGAAGGAAGAGGCTGGAGAGGCTGAGGCAGAAGGAGAAAGTGAAGGAAGAGGCTGAGGAACAGAAGGAGAAAGCGAAGGAAGAGGCTGAGAACCAGAAGGAGAAAGTGAAGGAAGAGGCTGAGGAACAGAAGGAGAAAGCGAAAGAGGCACCTGAGGAGAGGAGACATCCTGAGACGCGCTTCCTGTCGGAGTCCCATCGCTCAAGGTGTTCTTGTGCCGTGCCATTTCTCGCTGGCACTGTGCTATCACCTTCTGGCATCGTTCTATTCTCTGCTGGCACTGCACCGCTGCGATATACTTCCTCGCTTCTTCCTCACACGGTGCCATATCCTCGTCGCACTGTGCCATTGTTTTCTGACACTGTATGATCTCCTTCTGACAGAGTGCCATCTCCGCTTGGCACCGTGATAGAGCCTCGTAAGTCTGGGGGTCGTGGAGTGTGGCTAAGTCAACGGCCATGTGAGCGCAATTCACTGGAAAGGAAGATGGACGTGTGTTACTTGACTGCTGTTGAATTACGGTGCACATTACTTAATATTATATACACAGCAAGGGATCAAAATGGGTGATCTTAATACATGTAATACTTGCGTTATAAGCTTTACTAGCACAAAAAAGATGTATGATATTATGATTATTAGGTTACTTGTCTCCCAGCCATTCAAGAACAGTTTAAAAGATTCGTGAAACCAAACATAGGAACTCAGTTACTTATCAACAAGAACACCTTACGTTTGTAAATATTTAGATATTACACAGCTATAAGCAAGCACACACACTTTCTTGCACTTACACATGCACAGAAAGATACATACAAACATATTGACATACACTCACATTCACACACTTTCTCTTTCACACACATACATAGAGGGCATGCACAAATCCAAATTTATAAACATACATGCATAAACACATACATACAAACTCTCTCCCTTTCAAAAACTCTCACACACATACTCACCCCGCCCTCTCTTTCCCTCTCGTTCTCGCTCTCTCTCACTCTTTCTCGTTCTCTCTCTCTTTCTCGTCTCACTCTCTCACTCTCTTCCTCTCTCTCTTCTCCCTCCCCCTCGTCTCTCTCTATCACGCACCTACCTACCTCTCAGCCTCCCTCTCCTCTCTATTTTTCACAAACACACACCTCTCCCTCTCCCTCCTCCTCTATCTTTCACTCACACACACCTCTCCCCCTCCCCTCCTCCCTTCTCTCAGCCTCGTCCTCCTACCACTCCTCTCTCTCCTCCTTCCACTCACACACACCTCTCCCTCTCCCCCTCCCTCCCTTCTCCCTCTCCTACCACCCCTCCTCCCTCTCTCCCTCCCCTTCCTCCCCTCCTAGCACTCCTCCTCCACTCCACACACCTCTCCCTCCCTCCCCCTCCCTCCCTTCCTCCCCCTCGCCCTCCTAGCACTCCTCCTACCACTCACACACACCTCTCCCCCTCCCTCCTCCTCCCTCTCTTCCTTCCCTCCTCCCTCTCCCCTTCCTCACCTCTCATCGTATCGATATCCTGACCGAACTCCTGCATCTTCTGCATGACGTCATCGAGAACCTGACAGAGGTCCCCTGCCGAAGGCCATGCCACCTCTGCCGACGCGTGGTTGTGGCTCTCGCTGTGTGACATGGCGAAGGAGGGCGCGGGGAGGGGCGTGAAGGGGCGGAGGGAATCGCTGGCAGGAGGTGCGTTGTCAGTTGTTGTCAGCTGTTGTCAGGCGGGTGTTTGCTGTCAGTTCGATTTGGCGGCGATCTGGAAATTAAGGGTTTGGGGTGAGAGGGGGTTGTTGGTGAAGTGTTGGAGGAGTGTTGGAGGGAGAGAAAGAAGGGCATGGGGGGGCTTTGAAGAGAGAAGGAGGAAAGGAAAGTGGGGGAGGAGGAGGAAAAGGAGGAGGAGGAGGGGAAGAGGAGATGAAGAAAGAGATAAAGAATGAGGAAGAAAAGGAGAAGAGAAAGAGTGGGGGACGAGGAGGAAGAGCAGAAATAGGAGGAAGACGGGTGGAGGTGGGGAAGCAGGAGGAGGGAGGGGAAAAGAGGAAGGAGGGAGGAAAAAGAGCGGAAGAGAAAGAGAAGGAAAAGAAGAAGGAGGAGGGGGGGGGGAGAAGAGAGGAGGAGGGACGAGGAGGGAGGGGAGGACGAGAAGGGGAGAGGAAAAGGAGGAAGAGGTGGAAGAACATTAAAAGGAGGATGAGGAAAGAGAGAGGAAAGAGGAGGAGGAGAGGGAGGAGAGGAGGAAAAGGAAAAAAAAGAGAAAAGAGAGAGAAGAAGAAAGCGAAGAAGAGGGGAAAGGTAAAGCAAGAAAAGGAGAAAGAGAAAATAAACTAAAAGACGAAAAAAAGATGGAAAAGAACAAACGAATCAGAAACAGGAAAATAGGATACAAAACAAAAAGAAAAAAAAATGTAAAAAAATAAAATAAAATAAAATAAATAAATAAATAAAAAAAGTGATAATAAATAAATAAATAACCGTCACACAAGTGCCCGCTGACTCACCACTTAAACTTAATAACATCGACGGCCAACCAGTCATAAGTAATTAAACATAATAACCTCTCTTATAAAGTGGCCGCTGAACAGAAAACAAACGGTGTTCAACGTAAAAGCAGACATTTGCGTTCACTAACAGCGATGTGCATGATGGCAACGTTAATGGCAATGAAAAAAGATATACAGTCATAATAAAGATAAGGATAATACAATCATTATCATAATGGTAATGGTTGTTGATAATGATGATGATAATGATGATAAAACTAAATGATTAAAATGATGATGATGATAATGAGGATGATAATGATAATAATACTAACGGCAACAGCAATAATAATAATAGCAATAATAATAATAATAACAATATAATTGCGGAAATATCATACGTATGTGTATGTGTAGGCCTACGTGTGCGTGCTTATGTATTTGTGTGTGTGTGTGTGTACGTGGGTGTGTGCGCACGTGAGTCTGTGTGTGTACTGTGTGTACGTGTCTCGTGTGTGTGTACGTGGGTCTGTGTGTGTGTACGTGGGTCTGTGTGTGTGTACGTGGGTCTGTGTGTGTCGTGGGTCGGTGTTGTGTGTACGTGGGTCCTGTGTGTGTGTAAGTGGGTCTGTTGTGTGTAAGTGGGTGTGTGTTGTATGTACGTGGTCTGTGTGTGTACGTGGGTCTGTGTGTGTACGTGGGTTCTGTGTGGTCGTGTGGGTGTGTGTGTATACGTGGGCTGGTGTGTTGTGTACGTGGGTCTGTGTGTGTTTGTAACGTGGGCTACGTGGGTCTGTGTGTGTACGTGGGTCTGTGTGTGTCACGTGAGTCTGCGTGCGCGTGTACGTTTGCGTGTTGTTTAATTCAATGTAATGTTAGCTCAACATTAGTCTATCTAATCTATCAAGAAATCAACGTATAATCATCTATCTATACTTGACAAAAACAAACAAACAAACAAATATAAAAATGCCATCAACGAAAAGAAACTCGTACCATTAAAAACATTTCCGGAATAGGAATAATCGGGCTTTGTTATCACGTAGAGAGAGAAATGGAGATTGATTTTGAATTCAGACACGTGGGAATGTGTAAAATAACAATAATAATAATGATGATAATGGCAACAACGACAACAATAACAATAACAATGATAATGATGATAAAAATGTTGAATAAATTGATAAAGAATTTCTAAATATTTGATTCGGAAAAACGTAAAAAAATATGGAGAAAAAGTCGTTACGATTTTAAATAGCTAACCTATGTGATGTTTAACTACCTATATTTTTTTCTTCGAATCAGGTTTTTAGTTTAAATCATAATTGCAATATACAGTAACCTGATTTAACAGCCTGTAGCAATACATAAAAAAAATAATAATAATCCTCATAATTTCTTCGTTTCAGTCATAAACAACAAATTTCAGAAACGTAACTGTATGTCTAACATTCTTCTAAACAATCTACACAAAGAGACACAAAATTAAAGCGCAAAAAGTCTGTTTTACCACGAAATTAGAAGAGAAATCACGAGAAAAATGTTTCCCTGCTACTATCCATCCATTCGCGGTGACGTC